ACACATCTACACGTTGCTACGCTGGGGCTGCATTGCTACTGTGCGGCTCTGCCTCCTCCAGGCGGCCCTCTGTAAACAGTCTGCAGTGACAATGAGCTGTGTCAATGCAATGTACTGAGAGAATACAAAATATCAATACAGAGAGCCGCGTCTATAGATCGGAGGCGGGTCAAAAAAAAACAGATGCAAAGCTTTAGCAGAATTCAGGAAGCATTCAGCCCAATGTAGCAACCAAAAGATACTTTCACAAAGTCAAAGAACATGGGGTTCCAATAGACATCCAAACATTTTAAGGTCCTATTGACTTGCAGTAGCCCAGACAAGATCGATTCATTATAGGGGAGCCACCTTTTCTTTTAGCAAAACCCCAACACTCTAGCGATGCATGAACATTTTGGGGGGAGAATGGGTTAACCCTAACCCTGAGTTGCGGCTTATTCATACAGTATGTAAATAGTGCCACCGATTCATATGCAAATATCACAGTGGAGACTATTTTCAGTGGGGGGGCCAGTAGCCCCTATCTTAATTTTGGTTGCCCCTATCTGCCTGACATCTTGTGTCCGGGTCTCAGATGCCATGAAACCCACAGCATTCAAAACCCGAAATGTCTGGGTGAATCCCGTACAGGTGGCAGCCCTAGTTCATCAAAAGATAATCAGCACATAGACGATGCAATGAGTAGTTAGCACAGTGGTGGGGTGGTTAGCGCTTCTGCCTTGCAGCACGGGGGGGAGGGGGGGGTCCCTAGTTCTAATCCCAGCCAGGTCGCTATCTGCAAGGAGTTTGCATGTTCTTCCTGTGCTTGTGTAGGCTTCTTCCCACACTAAAAAGACATGCTGGAAGGTTAACGGACCCTTGTATGTATGTATGTATGTATGCATGTGAGACAGGGACCTTAGATTGTAAGCTCCTTGAGGGCAGGGACGGATGTGAAGGTGCGACTACGTACACATTGACGGTGCTCTCTAAATACTAACAATAAACATTCTGGCAGTCATTTCCTTAATTTTCAGGAGCCCCAAAGCCAAAGGACTCCAAATAGCTCTCAAGCCTCACAAAGTGGTATATAAATACATATCTAAGAAGGCTGGAGAAAGGTGGGCTGACTTTGATGAGGGTCCTCTCTATTGTCGGTAACACTTTCAGTCTCAGGGGGAGATGACACAGTGCGTGCATTTGCAACAAGAACATCTTGTATGCTATGGCATGAAAAAAAGCTACAAGCTCAGGACAGTTCTGTGTGTTCTTAAAGTGTTGGCACTTAAGCAACAACTTAACAACTCACTTTAATAAAAACAGATGCTCCGGGGTGCAAAACTCCCTCATCTGTGAAATGAAATTTAAGGTTCTACAAGCGGAAAATTCTTCAAATGCTGAAAAAAAAAGCTAGTTAAGCGGTAGAGCTCACCAAAACCAGCCTGCTTCTCTTGACACATGCCACCGATTTGGTAAGAAAAAGAAACCCCCGTTTTGGCGTGCTATATTTCAATGCAACTTGTCTCTTTTGCCAAGATGCAAGAGAAGATTCATTTCAAAGCCCCCTCGCACCCTAGGCGTCGACGTTCGTTTGGCTACGTTTACTTTACCGCCAACCCCTGCCGCTGATCAATCAGCGATCGATATTAAAAATAAAACAAGGACATCTGTTCCGCAATATGTGATGCGCCACATTGTGCCCGGGACAAGCTGCCTGGAGGCAGATGCATCGTATCACGATGATATCAGGATAAAGATAACTGTCAGCGGCGCTCTACAGTCATCTAGATGTCTCCCCGAAAGCCTGCGGATTTCGCCGACCCCCCGTCCCACGCTTTTTTGGTTTTTCTAGCTCTTGAAATTTAAAGTGGGAGCGTCGAACGTTTTGGAAGCGGTGCGTTTCCGAGCAGCAGCCGGCAACAGAGGTTGCGCTATATACGCCGGTTCAACTGTCAGAGTATGATGCAACTTTCGTGCAGAAGTGTCTCTGCCTCACTTGCAGGCTTCCCAGGCTGCGGACATGACAGCCCAACAGCTTCTTTTTTTGGGGGGGAAAGCGGAGCAGTGAATGGAAAAATAAAAAGCATTTGCAAGCAAAAAAAGGAAAGAGAAGCAGCGAGCGCAGATGTCAGTTAAACGCACTGTACGCTGATTGAGATTCATGTTGCTTTTAAGACATTCCAACTCCTGACTCTTGCCTAAAAAGTTCCAACAGCTGCTGCAAGTAGGTCTGAGCGCAAACAGATGCCGAGCTCCCAGCCTTTGCCTCCCCGACCAACTGTTACTGGGTGAGCCTTCTATATTTTTAGCCACCACCATTGTCTGGGCAGCTCGGCTACAATGACAAAGATCAATTTATAAGAGAAAAAAAAGAAAGCACAAGAGAGCCCTGTCTCCTTTAAGAGATCATTGTATCATCAGCATCATCATCTCAGCAAGAGCAGAATAACTGCATGCCAGCATAAATCTCTATCAAATCATAAGGATAAGGCACTTACCTATGAGGCAGCAAAGAACATTTTAAAGGGGGAAAGTACAGATCCAGTGGCATACGCTTGGAGGTGCAGTTAGAGGTGCAAATCCATAAAAAAATAAAAAATAAATGTTTTTGTTTTGTTTTTGTTTTTTCAAGCTCCCACTAAATCCTTTAGATGTCTCAGACCTGCTATCAACCACGCTCCATTCACATCCTCTGCCTATCTGAAAGCAGCCATGTGCTTTTAAATAGCTAGCCGGCACCGCACGCCCCTCTGCGAGGCTCTGGGCCAATCGCAGGCCCGAGGGGCGGGCTGAGAGACAGCCAGGGGGTCGGGCTGGCTCAGGATGACAGCTGGTTTATTTTTCAAAGTTCTGACAATAAAAGTAAAATTCCTATAAATAAATATCGCTGCCGGGCCGACGGCACTCCGAGAGAACTTCCAGGGACACTGGAGCCCATGCAGCCGCCTAAGATCATCCTGCTGTTGGCCATTTCAAGACTGATGAAGGGGACCCTGCGTGGCCCCGAAACGTCGTTCTTTGTTTTGACTTGAAGCGTCAATAAACAGACGTGTTCTTCCCTTCAATGTGGCGTGCTGGTGACATCTATCACAAACTTTAATAAGATCGTCCTGCGGCGCATTACCCCGGAGGGTGACTATATACCGCGGCGTGGGCTACTAAACGAGAGAGAGAGCTCTAAAGAGATTGCAAAGGACGGTCAAGACGGTTCGCAGAAAAATGTAGACTTCGCGTTGATATTCGGGAGGAATCGGCGGTGGAAAATACGCGGCTTACCAGCTCCGAAGAAGCAAGCGGCGGGGAATCGGGAGATCTCGGCAATGCGCTGGAAATTGCACAAAAAAGGATTCAGAATCCAGAAGCTTGCGCTGAATTTACCTTCTTGTTCTATATTTATTGAGTTACTGGCAGAGAGGACGGTAACAACTTTAAACTAAGATTTATTTTATTGTCATTTCTGAGAATGAAGTGACATTTTCTGGGCCAGCTCCTGATTTGTTTCATTGTTTCATGTTTGCATTCTGGTGAAGATGGAAGATTATTGTTATTTTTGGATTTTTTTTTTATTGATCTATTAATTAAAATCATCTCCTATAGATCTGTAGAAAGTTGAGTCCTGCGGAGGCTAAAACAGCTTTTTCTCTGATTTCCTGGGACCTTTGCCTGGACATTGATCGACCTCGCAGTCCAGTTCCAAAAAAAATGTCTGGTGTGTATCTGGGAAAAACAAAAAGAGAGAAACGGAGCGCCACAACCTAGTGCAATAATGTAGTTTGTAGTTTGAAGGATCCTTCTTCCCCATCCAGTGGACCAAGCTTAGTCCCTCACAGCCACCTGACACCACGCCACCTCTCCTGGTCACAAATTGCTGAGCTTCCTCCAAACCTGGCCACATGTCAGTGAATATTGTGTTGCCCCTTCAAAAACCCACCTTATTGCGCTAGGTTGTAGCGCTCCGCTTCTCTATTTTTGTTTTTCCAGTTCCTGCTGGAGGAAGATGACATTCACTCCTTCCTACCTCTGCGTATTGTTGTCGTGTTTCTAGTGGCCATTTGCATTTGCGTTAAAGTGATACTAAACTCAGGAGTTAAAAAAAAGGTAATTACTTACCTGTGTCTCTGCTGCTCACTCCCGGCCGAAGATCTGAAGCTTCTCGAGGGGCCGTGCAGGATGATGGGGCGGGCGAATGCACAGTAGAGATCTTCGGTGGGGAGGAGGGGAGACACACAGTGGAGGTGAATGCACGCAGCCGGGAGCGTGCACGTCGGAAAGACACCGCGGGACCCGAGGAGTCTGCGCTGAATCATAGACCGGCACCAACGCTGAATACAAGTGGAAGGAAGAAGATGATCTGATCAAGAGGCATCATATAAGGTTAGTCCTTAAAGCAGCATTGGGGAGGGGGGGCATTTGTGACTTTAATGTCACTTTAAACCTTAAAAATCCATTCAAGTCCCTGAACTCTGAGCAACAATGTATCTTATTTGTGTATCACTCGGCTGTAGATCCTCCAATCATCTCTGACACTGTCCTTCCTTCTGGAGGGGGGCTACGTCTGTTCCCCATGGTCCCTGTGTGTGTTGTAAAGTAGTCAAGTAGTCACCGCTCCAAGCTCCGCCCCCCGGGATAGACTACAATCTCAATACAAATCAGTAAACTAAACATGAGATTGTAGTCCATCCCGGGGGCGGAGCTTGGAGCAGTGACTACTCTACAACACACACATCAGCTGTGCACAGCAACCAATCAGCATCTTGCTTTAGTTTGTTCAGTTAAGATTTGAAACTGAAAGTGAGAAGCTGATTGGTTGCCGTGCACAGCTGCTCCAGATTTTGTCTGCTCCAGTTTGGATAAATTTCCCGCCATTGTTGTCAGGGTGCTTGCATGGATTTTGTAGGTTTACCTCCTGAGTTTAGTGCACATGAAGATGCGTTGTTGCAAGGCAGCCCGTTGAAAATAGTGAGCTGGTAGGGCACCGAAGCATCCGGAAAATCGGGCGAGTCACAAAACGCAAGACGACAATTTAAATGGGTCCGCGGCGTATCTACAACGCAAGAGGAATGAACTGATTCAATGTAGAGAACATGCCATGGCAGGAATGCCGAGCTCCGGGATCCCTCCAGAGAGCGGAGACAGAGGGCACTGCGGGCGGGCGACTGTGTAACAGTAACATTGTAGCAGAAGAACCGACACAAATTTAAAAAGGAACTCCAGGAATGTAAAAAAGTTAACCCTTAGCGTGAGGGGCTACCCACCCACTGCCCAGTTTGGGTTCATTTGTACATTTTCTTGTTCAGAAGTTTCAGGGCAATTCAAAGGTTAACTATTTTACATTTCTGGAGTTCACTTTTTACATTTGTGTTCTTCTCGTTTTTCTGGTCTCTTCGTTTGTCTCCGGGCGCACAATGAAAACATTTACAAGCTTACAATATAAAGATGAGAAATAAAATAGAAATAGAAATAGGGCAATTCATTCTATATGTCACACCATTCATCGGTATGGAAGGTGATTATATTAACATGTTATTATTATTATTATTATTATCATTATTTATTATTATTATCATCATTATTTATTATTATTATTAATTATTATTATCATTATTTATTATTATTCTCATCATTATTTATTATTATTATCATTAATT